TCAATTACTGGGGACGCTAAGCCCTCGCATTGGCCGCTTGCTCCGCTGCGCGGCAACTTAACATCTCGTGCGCTCTGCATGGATCACGCTGAAGCGACTCTTGCGAGGCAGCGCGGTTCTTGTGTTTCGAACGATGGCGTGCAGTACCATTTTGTGTCTTTTCAAAAAGGACCCATAGAGAAGCGTAACGCAGCGGCGAAGTATGTGAAGTTGGTGAGCACGTATCGGAGGAGTCATTGAAACGCCTGGGCATTTGTGGTGCGGTGTCATGGACCGACTCTTCGCACCGCAATGTTCACCGCAAGGACATTCAGAGTTACGCACGGAAGCTAAACGCGTTTCAGTGCACCGAGGGTGAACAGTGAACGTCCGAGGCTTTGGTTGGCACCCAGTCGTCTGTGGTGTGCGTGCCGTGGGTCGTGGCTCATAGTCAGCCAACAGTGGGCTGTAGTTTGCGGCCCGTGGTCTGCGGCCAGCGGTCTGCGGCCAGTGGTCTGTGGCCCGTGGTCTGTGGTTCGCGTTCTGTGACCCGTGGTCTGTGCGTCGTGGCTGGTTACTCATAGTTGGTGGTCCATCCTATTCCACGTTCCTTAGCACATTTTCCGTGATCGGTGGTGTCTGATCTTTTCGTCACTTGCTCATGATTGGTGATCGGCTGTCCCTTGTCCGTATTTTGTGGTCCTTTGTCCCTTGTCCGTATTTCGTGGTCCGTTATCCATCGTTCGTTATCCATGTACGTTTCCCGTGGTTCGTTGCAGGTGTTCTGTGGCCAATCTGCCGTGATATGTTGTCTGCGGCCCCTTGTCCACAATCCGCAGCCCGCGGTCCCCGGTCCGCGGTCCTCGGTGCCCGGTCCGCGGTCCCCGTCCGTGGTCCGCTGTTCTCGGTCCGCGGTCCCCGGTCCCCGGTCCGTGGTCCGCGGTTCTCGGTCCGTTGTCCGGATCCCTCGGAGCGCTCTCCTTGTCGGACCACCCTAGTTGTTTTTGTTTATGTTTTTGTGCTTTTGCGCATTTAGCCTGTGCTCTGTGCTACGCGACCAGTTGCTCTGCGGTCCGTGACCGACGGTGGCGGCGGCGGCGCAATCGGACGTGACCCGGTGCGGCCGGCCTGTATATACCGCCGGGACGGCCGGGTGATGAGACGGCCTCCCCGGCCGCGCCCGGGTCTTTTATCCGGCCGGCCGGCGTCAGGTGTGATCAAGGTGATGAGTGTGCGAAGAGCGGCCCGTGCCCCGCGGCGGGCCGCCCTCATCCGATCAATACGGATTCAGAGCCGGCCGCTCGTCCTGCGCGGAGCCGGGCAGGGTGCCGGGAGACTTGCCGCACACGGAGGACGGTGCGGGTCCGGACAGGGTACCAGGCGACCTGCCGCACACGGAGGACGGTGCGGGTCCGGACGGGGTACCGAGCGACCTGCCGCACGCGGAGGACGGTGCGGGTCCGGACAGGGTACCGGGCGACCTGCCGCGCACGGAGGACGGTGCGGGTCCGGACGGGGTACCGAGCGACCTGCCGCACGCCGAGGACGGTGTGGGTCCGGACAGGGTACCGGGCGACCTGCCGCACACGGAGGACGGTGCGGGTCCGGACAGGGTACCGGGCGACCTGCCGCACACGGGGGACGGTGCGGGTCCGGACAGCGTGCCGGGCGACCTGCCGCACACGGAGGACGGTGCGGGTCCGGACAGTGTACCCAGGCGAACCTAACCGCACACGGAGGACGGTGCGGTCCGGACAGGGTACCGGGCGATCTACCGCACACGGAGGACGGTGCGGGTCCGGACAGGGTACCGCGGTGGTCGCAACACGCGTGGGAGGGGGCCGGACAGTGGCTGCTCGGTGAAGGTGATCACTAATGGCTCATTCACGACGGCGTTTAACAGTGCCTCCCAGCGGACGTGAGGACGTCGATTCGAAGGAGGCCCTGCCGAACTACAGACGTGTGGGACGTTAGTCTGGACTGGAGACGCCGAGGGCTGGTCCAGTCCGGAGATGAGCGGAACGGTGGCCTGTCATGGGACTTTGGGATACGCCCATTGCAGTACCGTCACGGTTAACCCAAGCCGGCCGGTGCATGCGTGGTGGTGGTGATTGTTGGTCACAAGGCAAACGAATCGACTATGTCAATAAGGATGTCTGACACGCGTTCCCATTCGCCTTGTCTCCCCTGGCGTCTTTACAACAAAAGAATTGTCGCTTCACTGCGCCACGCTCTTCATCCGCCTCTTGGCGAGACCCTCACCCCCGCCGTCTGCGTGTCCGGCAGCTGCTGCGTCAGGAGCCAGAGCGCCGCGTCGCCTCGCTGGAGCGCATCAGAACACTGCCCTACCTGCAGTACGTCGACTTCGACGCGGTTTACAGCAAGCAGATACCGGTGCCCTTTATACCGCCGGTAAGGACCTGACGCTGGCGCCGCTGGCAGGGTGGTGTGGTGTGGTGTGGTCTGGTCTGGTCTGGTCCGATCTGGACTGGACTGGACTGGACTGGACTAGTCTTACAAACCTCGTTCTCAAAGTTGACCTGGTACGGTGTGGCATGATGGGTCATGGTCTTCTCTGGCCTGGATATGGCCTCTGGGCTGGTATTTCACGATACATGGTGGTAGTGATTCCTAACCAGCGGCAAATCTGGTTAAGACTTCCCGGTGTAGACTTGTCTTCTGGCTTTGTATCGTGCGGCGTAATACCGCCTGACCTGGTTAGGACTTCCTGTTGCGGCCTAATCAGGCGTAATTTTAGCGGCGCGATGTGGCATGAGGAGGCGTCGCCTGGTATCTTCACGTTTAATCTACACCAATCTTAGCGGGCGCGATCTCTCCCGTTTGTTCTCTCATGATCTGATCTGACGGTAGAGTTTCTGGTGGGGCCTGTGCGGTCCGGACTGTTCTCATTCTGTCCGCTCTGCTAGTGTCGCGTCGTTACGTGGAATAGGAGGTGAACAGGATACCCGCAGGACGGTACAGTGGGTACGAATGAGGCCACATGGGCTCAGACCTATGTACATGCATTGTCTTGCGTGACCAATACGGCGGGAATTCCAAATAAGCTGGCTTCGTATTGCATCCAGCTGTTATTTTTCCGGGCCCGGGGATTATTCCAGCCGCGCATGCCCAAAGAAAACCCGAAAACATAACTAAAAACCCAATGTTTTTGTGCCTGTCGAGGCTGCGTCGCGACTGCTGGTACCTTTGGTTCTTGTGATGCCTTATAGCAATGGGTCGAGAAAGATACGTGAATTCGCGTAGATGCTTTGCGAGTCACACAGCGGTCTCGTGGCCGACAAATTCCTGCAACACAAACATCAGCAGCTCCAGCCATCTAAAGCATACGTCTAAAAACAACGTACCCAAACACACCGCGGGGACTACCCAGCTGAGCCACGAAGGCAAAAGCGAGATGACCTGAACTTGACTGTGAGTCCACCGAAAGAGAGGACTGCTTCAGTCACGGCTATTCACGCCATTTTTGTGGGTAGTGCACAGGTTTGTGTTGGGCGCTGCGTGCTGGCTGTATGAGTTTTCAGTCAGTTGAGCCTTCACCCCTTTCTTGTGGTGGCCGCACCCCTGGGCTAAGCAACCGTCAGATAAGAAACGGCGTATTTGGCTTTTATGTTTGACGTTAAAATGCGACCTATCGCGAATTCAACGAAGCCAGTTTCATTTTCACGCTTCCGCTCGTTTTTGTCACCTCAGCGGAAACTCATTTTAAAAGGCAAACGAGAGTCCATAAGCTGTTGGACGCAAGCACGATGTCGGCGAGAGAATATTTGCTGGAGGTCGACGCCTGCTGGTGACCTGCGGGGTGACCTGCTGGTGACACGCCGGATGACCTGCCCGGACCCCAACTCTGTGTGCGGCCTCCGTCGATGCACTCGCCAGCCAGAGGGAGGTGGGGGGGGGGGGGGGGGGCGTGTCGTCCGGTGTTTGTACGGGGGGGGGGGGCGTGTCGTCCGGTGTTTGAGCGCCGCGAGTCGTAGGGTCTGCAGCTGCGGAGCTGGGGTTCCTCTGGAACATGTTCTGTCAACACGTCGCAGGGGACGATTGATAACGCCAAAGCGCTTCCGGCGTTAGCAAAAGGCAGACGCTTCCCAGCGCTGTATTTGGATCGAGGTGCCCAGCGCAGACTTGACAGAGCTGACAGCTGTGATGGATCGTTTGGGCCGTGATGACAATCGAGCTTTGTCGTTTATCAACGTTCAGTCGAGTCTCATGTCGCGACTGAGCGATTACGGCGTACATAAATGATGTCTCGGTCGAATGCGCGAAGATTAAGACTCGGTGGCAGGTGGGCCCACCGCAACATAGCCTTGCACGGAACAAGACGCACGGTAAAAAGTGTGGTGTGCTATTGGGGAGGTCGCAGTTGGGGAGTCCCCAGACCCTCAACTTTAAAAGGAATACAGTTCAAATTCGGAGAGAACCCTGTTTCTTTGGTGTATTTGGGGATAGGTCCCACCATTTTTCTCGCTCAGACGCTTAACTTATCTTAGGGGACTGCACCCCTGCGCACGATGAAAAGCAGACACCAAGCGACGTTGAGCTACATGATGTGAATCTAGTGCTAATATCAATGTATTATTTGGAAGATTTTCCTTTTATCTAGCAAGAACTTTCACTCAATTAGACGCGCTTTAACGCAAAATTTGAACAGCTGTTTTGCGTTTGTAGCACCAATAAGGCGTAATGAAATACTCCCCTTTCTGATGTAATTCGCACACATGCGTCAGCTGGTAAGATGATGCTGAACTAGTTCGCCTTCTATTCGTCTTTAATGCACATAGGATGCTACCTTGATGGCTGGGTGACTCAGAAAGCATAACAGAACATGAAAACCGCTAAGGGTGTTTTGAAAGCTTGAAATTTCATGCGGCTGATAGATGTGGGAATAAGAGGGGACAAGGTCTCGGTCTAATACGATCCTCGGAAGTCCCCACTGGGTATTTTATGCCGATGGATTCATGCCGCCTTCCTCACGTGCTGACTCATTTTTCGAGAAGTAGTTCATCAACGCTGCGATGTTCAGCTCGTGGATTTGGACGTGCCAGCTGCTCTGAGAACGGTGGAAAAGCCGTGTGGGTTCTCAGCGGGCTCGCGCCGAACCCCTGGGGATAAGCCCTCCCAAACTTGCCCACTGTTTATACAGCTCAGTGCCGACGGCCAGATCCACAAATTTTGGTTCGCTTCCGCGACAACAGAATAAGGCCACCAGAGTGCGCCAAGCTTACTGACGATTTTGTCGATCCCCTGCTGCGGCAAGCACATGGTCGTCGCCACACAAATATAGGTAGGTTGTCAAATATGACGCACAAAATCCTGGCAGGCCAAAACTATGATAGGCTTCTGTACTGCTCACATTCAGCACTGTTCTACCGTGCGGAGCCGGTGCAACACAGCACCAAGGGCGGAGTGCAACATGTATTAATGAGCTCAATTGTGTTACTTCTCTGCAAATATAAGACCGTTCTTCCACTACTACGTAACTGTACTCGTGCATGGATGCATCACATACCCCATGGAAGTCCACTGTGCTGGCGTGCCTCCTTACCTTTGTTTTCTGTGGAGTTTATTCGCTTCCCTCTTCATGGACCGGTTGTCATATTCGATTAACCCGACTGAAGTTGCAAATGTCTTCAGCGTGATAGTAGACAAGTTGCTTCGCCAATACGCATATTCAGAGACATTTTAAACATTGGTTACACTCACTTACTTACGTGATACCCATTCTCGATAGCCAGCCATTCCTTTGGCCATATTTGCTGTGGTTTAGCGTTTAGGCATTTAAGCAGAACAAATATCTTAAATCCATTCGAGCCGCGTGGTTCGTCTTTTTTCTGCAAATTGGATGCCCAAATGAGGGTCATTTAAGTCTTCACTTTGGGATGCCTCGACCGGGCCTACGCCACGCACGCCATCCGATCACGTGACCCTGATTTCACTACGAATCCACCCGGTCCGGATGCCGGCGCATCCCATAAACTTCACGAAAGGTCGTAACCGAGCTCCTGGGACAACCCAGCCACCTCTCCACACCAGACGTGACATTCAGACACGTGGCCGGCACGTGACGGTGGGTGCCGTGCTTCCTTCCGTCAGGCGGGACGACGCGACACGGAAATGCCAATCCAAAGGTCCCGTTGGCGGAACGAGCCTGTTGGGTCCGTCGTACATCCTCATTTCTATTCGGTGCACTACGCTGGGGCTCCTGCAAGAGGCGGGGCGGATCTCTGAAGTTCACGGAGTCTTTGAAAGTTCGGAGCGGCGGATGTCTTGTGACTATAATGCACCGTTTTTCCGTCGCCTTATCGCCGCGTTCGATGGGCCGAGCTGAGCAAACATTTTTTGCAGCGCTGTATCGAACGCCAACCTTGGAAAGTTGTAGATGTGCTTTGATTGAGATACATCCTTCAAGAACGAAGCAGGAAAGTTCAGAAATTTGCTGACAGCACCATGTCATCGCGTGGAATGTTCGTGTACCTGGTAAACATCCCGCAGCGCACCGATGCTTGCTTCCTTTGCTGCCTTGCCTTCCGCGCCTGTCTTTGTTTTTTTTTTGCGTAATTCAAGGAGTGGGCTTCGATTCATATTATTTTCTAAGTTTTTTTTACAAAAATGTAGGAAAGAGTCCACTTTTACACGGATGCAATTTTTTCATTCTTCCTCGTGGCAGCGTCGCCATGGAGGCTGCAGCTGGGTAACTTGAGGCCACATTTTCAATATGTTGTCCTGAATTGAGGGGTAACTATAGACATCGGGGTGAGCCAATTATATTTCTTTTTTTGTGCGTCAAGTGTGCAGTGCTTGCTGTGCGGGCCATGACCCCCACCATCCGATGGCGCAATTCCAGGCAACGGCAGAAATTAGCAGCGAAAGCCTAACGCGCCGCAATGCTCGGCACGGTCCGTCCTGCCATCCGACGTCAACTGACCCTTTGCGCGGCCGCTGTGACCGGTCGTAACCCATACCTGTCGAGGTCAAACAGCGAGCGCCCGAAGCGACTCGAACCCACCCCGCCACGGATGGTGAATCAGGACACAGACTCTCTAACGAACTGAGCCCCCAGGACGGCCAGGCGCCCCTCGCGACTAAGCGTGATATTTATGTCACTGATTCGTTGGAATAAGATTTCGTAAGACAACAGAGTTGGGAAAGAATTCTGTATTTTTGTGCGGCATCATAGTTGGGGTTATGGGACAGCTCGGAGATAAAATGAGAAACCATATAAGCGACAATTTTGTCGAAACAAATTTTAACCAAGGTCCGTGCTGAACATAGATTATGACTAGCATTCTTAAACCACTGCCTCACTATCTTAATACATCTTCAACAGATCCATTTTGCCTCGGTCCGTTATCCAAATAGCGCGAAAAGACCTTTGCCGTGTCGTGCGACTCCACGGCTGTGGGCCGCCCCGTAACCAAGCTGACACTATCAAGCCAACGGCGAAATGGCCCTCGTTGGTGAGCCAAATATGAACCAAATATTCTGGGAGGCGAACTTACCACTATGCGTTACGGCACGTCACAAATGTGGTCGGCAGAACTTCAGCGCTCTGCCGAAGTTGGGCTTCCTGCAGGACGATCGGTGTCTGCGCGGCAATACGCGTTCTTCTTGCCAGCATTTTACGCATTGCAGTCAACGGGCTCTAGAAAGGCGATGTCTGCGAATTTCCTCTTTGCCAGCTATTTTGCCAAAAGGCATCACCTGTGATAAAAACGTAAGACGTTTTGTTGAGCTCGGATCAGCACATGGCACCATGAATTTGAACAGTGGTATCGTTTGACAGCCTTACGCCTTTCGGGAAAATAATACGAAAAAAGTTGAGCCTTTTCCAGAATCGTGTGCCAATGTGCTTTAAAGTAGGCAGGTAGCTGAGTTCTACCATTGGAGGCGATTCATTGATTCGAAATTAAATCAGACTTTCATGTTTCAATTGTTCCAGGTTTCAGGCGAATCGCTGTCTGCAGCATACAATGATACTATTTAATAATGCACAGTCCTACACATCTCAATCAGACATGCTCTGTAGAATGCTCGTTTGTCGCTTTGCTACGCTGATGAAAAAAATAGTACACATGCAATGTATACGGCCTGCGTAATATGACATACATTCATTCAACGCAAAATCGCCAGCGTCTCATGCAGTGCAACAGCAATTTTATAAAAAGCATGCATGTGGTTGTTGTATCCATAGCAGATGCATTTTCTACACTACTGTTACAGCAAACTCTTTTATACCATCGTATCTGCTGAGCATCTTTATGTATCCGATTAAAGCAGTAAATTGCTTTTAGCTTCAATCTCATACGGCTATTGATCAATGTGATCGTTTATTATATTATGAGTTGTTGAGCACATTTGGATCGACAAAATTTGGCACATTTGGATCGGCACATTTGACAAAAATCGTGACTTATATAGAGCAACACTTTACACGGGAGACTTTGCGGCCTAAATCCAAGGACAAAAAATAAAATTGGAGTAGACAGTGTGATTTGACGATATGGCTTGGCCCCTAAACCCCGTCACTGGATCCGTTAATGTAGCCGGATGTTTTCCACACATAGAAAGTAAGCATATATGTTGTCGTACAGAGAAGAGCACATACCAACACTGCAACATCTATCCTCGTAATATGACGTCATGTTTGCTCTCGCCGTCAGATGACACGTAACAGCTGGGCGGATAAACGATGCAATAAGCTTAACACAGCCACGGTCATAAGACACGCAAAGGTCTGAGAGGTGTTTAACTGAAAAGCTCCCGAGCGCCGGAATGACCGGATTCCTTCATGACTAGCCCTGTCTCCGTTCCCCACAACCAAAGCTCCGTGCCGCCGTGCATGCCCGCCATGAAGGTGTGTCGTCATTGTCCTAAGGTGGCCCCTAGAGGGTCGCCTTTGCTTTCAGATCAGTAGGGGGCACGTGCCTCCAGTGTCCCCCCTCCCCTCTTTCCGGATCCTTTCTGATGTCTGCTATGCTGCTTAATTTAGGGACTTATTTTTAAATGAAACAAATATTAAAAACAGAAGTAGTCTTTCACCAAATTAAAATGGGCTAAATCTGTTTAGAAAACAAATTGTTTAGGAGGGAAGTTCGTCGGGACCTCGGCTCTGTTCCGCCTCCCCAATCATTTACAGAAATTGGCACCCCTGGCTCAAGGTTACTCAATCTACGTATAACATCCTGTATCATTCTCCCGTTCGGGATTTTTTCAGTTGACGATTACCGGCAAATACACCTCCGTTACATCGTACATTGTAAGAACATCATTCCATTGGCAGTCGCCCTGACGGTGGTTACCGGAAAAAACTGCGAGATATCCCCTCAAGTGTGCGCTTTACTGGGTCGCAGAGAAACTCGCTGAACTGCGATCCGACCTACGAGCTGGAGGAGATGATCATCGAGTCCAGACCGCTGCACAAGAAGAAGAAGCGCCTCCTGAAGCAGCGGTCCGTGCGGGAGGGCCTGGGTCAGCAGGCGGAACAGGTGAGCGCCGGTAACGGTGAGAGCGCCGGGCGCAGTTGGTGCATGTTGCCAGTAGCGGGAGCGGCGGGCGCGGCGGTCATTTGGTGCATGTTGCCAGTAGCGGGAGCGGCGGGCGCGGCGGTCAGTTGGTGCATGTTGCCAGTAGCGGGAGCGGCGGGCGCGGCGGTCAGTTGGTGCATGTTGCCAGTAGCGAGAGCGGCGGGCGCGGCGGTCAGTTGGTGCATGTTGCCAGTAGCGGGGGCGGCGGGCGCGGCGGTCATTTGGTGCATGTTGCCAGTAGCGGGAGCGGCGGGCGTGGCGGTCAGTTGGTGCATGTTGCCAGTAGCGGGAGCGGCGGGCGCGGCGGTCAGTTGGTGCATGTTGCCAGTAGCGGGCGCGGCGGGCGCGGCGGTCAGTTGGTGTGTGTGCCGGTAGCAGGAGTAGCGAGGGCGGCGGTTATTTGGTGCGTGTTGCTAGTAGAGAAAGTAGCTGAGGCGGCAGTCAGTTGGTGCGTGTCGTCAGCAGCGGGAGGGGCTGGATCAGCGCCTGCCAGCAAAAAGGAGAGACCGGGGCGGCCGTCCGGGCTGATGAGTGTTGTCAGCAGTCAAAGTTTTTGAGGTAGTGGGCAGCGCTGGTGAGCGTCGCCAACGATGAGAGGACCTGGGGCAACAGTTACAGCCGGCGAGCGCCGCCAACGGCTGTGGGAGGCAAGCTGGCAGAGGTCGTGTCATCAACAGCCTCGCGTTTCGTTCTGCACTCTTAGGCTGGTAACCAGTTTATCCGTGTGAGTTGTGCATGGTTGTGTGGACACGCGATGTCTCGTTGCTCTTCAGGAGGGCATTTTGGATGATCGTTTCTTAGACCTGTCGGCCGTTTTACTATTCGTTTCGAATTGGTCTTATGCAGATACTACAGTTTCCCAAGGTGTCGTCCTAGTCGATTATGCTATTATTCGCGCTTGATATTCGCATTACCTATTAAGTTGCGTTGCGTTTCGTGTGTTAAAATGATGCTAACGATAAGCGCGATGGTCATCCGTATTTCTGGACTGAGCTTGGTATAACCGCCACCCATACGTCCAGCATTGCTCCGACATAGCATGTTCATCCATCACAAGGGCACGTCCAGCTGCGGTTCAGCAGTGACTCTCGTTCTCGTGTGACCACCCGCCGCATGCCCGGCAGACGGAGGACCCGCTTCAGCAGCGGCTGCAGACGGTGGCCGGTGACTTCTTCGTCTACGACCGCGAGAAGGAGCTGGCGCAGCGGCAGCGCGACCGACTGGAGGAGGCCTGGGAGCGCGAGCTGGCCGAGAGCATGCAGCAGTCGTCGCCCATCTCGCAGGTGGACAGCGCGGTCATCGAGCGAATCCGCGCCGACCTGCTGAGCGAAGGGCGTCGTCTGACCGAGGCCGAGCGCGCCGCCGGCAGCAGGACCGTGCAGGCGTTGCAGGACATGCAACTGGGACGGCCGGCGGCCGCCGAGGCGACGGCGTCCGCCAGCAGTCACATCAGCACGCCCGCGCGCCGCCGCACCCGCCTCCAGCACCAGATGACCGTCACCTAGACGGGTCACCGGCCCGGGGAACTAAGGGGGTTGGGGGGGGGGTGGGGTTGGAGTACAGCGGGCTGCGTGGTGTCGGGTGTTGGGGGACGGATTGGGGTTGGTGAGACAATGTGTTGAAGTGACCTATCTGATGGGGACACTGCGTGCCGTGGGCTCGTGGGCTGCGTTTGGTCACTGGACGGAATGTGTGGTGCTGAAGTGACGGAGTCCCCCACGCGAAACAGCGGGGAGCACCCGTTCGTGTATGGAGTTGGTACCACCTGCGTACCTTCATAACGTGTACCCTATGCTGCTCTGTGGGTCACATCAGGTGACCTGGTGTGTTTCTGAACGATGTCGTGCCTTCCGGGCTCTATCATTAGCGTGCAAGCCGAATCGGTTCCTTTTAAAATAACTCAGCCCTGTTCGGAATTAAAAAGCGACCTGTGACTGTTCTGGTCCCCTGGTGGATGCCTGTGAAGACTTTCAGACTCGCTGCACCACGCAGAAGCTCGTGATCTATGAAGCGGTGTGGCAAGCTGTGTTTCCCGTCGAGCGACGGGAACGATAGCCAAAAGCCCCGAGTAGCCTGTACAAGCTGTTGGGCCGGTGAGTCGTTTTATTCTTGTTAGAAATAGACCTGGTACCGGAAACGACGATACCCGCCTACTGAACAGAACGGTGTTGACTGAGTTGACGCGGTCGGCGTCCGACAACAACACTCCTAGATGAAGACTGGCATTTGAAGACAGCTGCGCTAACCACAAAACCCTTGATGCATCTTCTATTTGCAGCTTGCGTCCAAGCAGGGGCCTGAGACGGCTTTGGTGTTTTCTTGCTACTAAATGATTCTTCATTTGAAATATGAATTTAGAAAAGGCTGCATTTATGTTATATGTTATGCATTACGTGTGATCACTGCTCAGCGTGAGCCCTGATCCCAAAAATCCGTACATTCGGAAGGTTCGGATTAAATCATTAAAAGAAAACTATAGTTATAAAACACTCTTTGTTGGCGTGTTTTTTGCATTATTCGTGGTTGAGCATTTGAGCGTCTTTGTTTTAATAGTCAGTGTTCATCAGCCTATCAAAACGCCTCCGCGTCGGCCCATTGAGCACGAACGCACTTTTCAAAATTCAATAATGGCCCACACCTGCTGATATCTCGCCAACGGCGTGTTAGCCGCTGAACGCGGGAAAATGAGGCCGTCATCTCTAGCTGCTAGACCACACTGGATGGGTGGGACATTAACCTGATGTGAGACAGCAATCTAAATGTTCGTCAATTCTCAACAAAACATGGCAGACAGCACGTGCTTGAGATTTGAATTGCGTTTATTATTCCTTTTCCTGCTCTTTTCAAATTGATCCTAAAAGTGAAACACCCTGTAGATGGAACTGCATCAACAGACCTTGGTTGTGGATGATTGAAAAGAAACTGATGAAATCCGGCACTGAGCTGAGCTGCATATGTCACAGCCAGCGCTATCGTCTGGCTGGCCCACCAATGCAGGGTAAATTCTATTGCCGATCTTGGGTCGTGGTTCAGGCCCTGAAGATAGCAAGGGTGTAGTTTTGCAAAATAAGCTGTGGGGGAGGGGAAATGAGCAGTGATAAAGGTCTCAACCTCCACAAAATGCGCCAGAAAATGTTTTTTTTTTCCCGAACGTGGCCCACTTTCTTCCCAGAGTGTGGGGGAGGAAAGGGCATGCACACGTGGGTTTTCACAGGTTTAACACAGGGAGCTAGAATCGTTTTTGAACTAGGGTGGGAGTGAAAAATTCCGTCGCACAAAGACTGTGCGGGAGTGAAAAAATTACTTCACAAAAATGGAACTTATGAGCTCGTGACTGATGACTTAGCAAACAAAGATATTTATTTCAAGTTGGCATGGACGTTATGTCAGAAACCTGATAAAACTGTTTCGATTTTTAACATCTTAGGCCATTTAAGTGAAACAGAATACATCAAAGCATAGTAATTTCATGACAATGTAATGAGCATAACAAATTATTAACACCCATAATTTGATGCAGCACTTTGCACTTCCCTTCCACAGCACTTTTAACACAAAACAAAGCAAGGAAATTCAATAACAAAATAACAACAGAAAATTCAACAAGCATACAACACTCAAACAAAAAAAACTTGGACTCCTACACATCAGCCCATCACTACGTCAAACACAATAGACACGCCCCTGGCTTCTGTTAAGATGGGGTCAGGGAAAACAAACATCTTGTCACTGCTTCTTACAAAACACCAATGTTTATTTCCATGAAAGAAGCCTTACTATGCCTAACCTAAAGAGGCCTTACTTCATCTCATCCTGTCCAACCTACTTGCATCACAGCAGCAGCTGTGAGTTACTGATTCTTGCACAATTCCTATTGCCACTTGCCATGCACTTCCAATTTAACCTAACTCAGTGTAGCCTATATTGAACATCATCTCAACCCACCTATCTGTTGACAGCAGCACTTGTAATAAAAACATGATAAAGCTAATTTTTGGCTTGTCTCAACTTGTATTTGTATTCAGCTCGTTTGTATATGCTTGTTGACATCAGACAAAGTTGACAACATACAAATAAAAACACTTTAAATCACTTTGAGCAACATATTTTGATTGCCATGGTTAACCTATGTCAGGAGCAAAAATAGATATGCCACACAGAACAAGCCCTCTTCTCCAAAAGTGACATCAATTTTAGATGACCATGCCAGTATTGCTGCTTGTCTTTTCAGCTGCAGCAGAGGCATCTATTTAGGCTTGTTTATTCATATTTAATGACAAAGGTTGAGATGTTGGCTTCACATTTTAAATGGGATGATCTGATTATTTGTTACATACTAATATTTAACTCATATTATAACTGCTATGCAGCTTCGAGTATCTCTGTGTTAAAAATATAGTGCATTTAAACAGTACTGTCATTTGCCAGTCAGCAAACCATGACCACTGAAGAAAACATCTAGTTAAAGCAGCCATGAGGGACCACTTCAAGAAGTTTGTGGCAAATAATCGAGAGTATGGAACATTGCGTGCCTTGTGGCATTATAGTTTGTCTTAAAACACAACTCGATGGATTAAAACAGAAAATGGCTAACTCTGGTTACAAATCATGTGTTGAAAGCAGGTAAGGTAAACAATCACTTGGTCCACAGGAGACTTTCAGAGACTGGATTCTTCCTGCTCCCCCACAACAAAAAGTCAGTACCTTTTGCATGGTCTGCTGGCAGACAGAGTTATCTCACTTACCCCCCAAACATAAATATAAGTTGTGCCCACCAACCTACGAGATTAAAATGGGAAACAAGTAAGAGGTGTGCATGATAAACATCTCCAGAGTGCAGAATTTCGCCATCAAACACTTTTGTATTAGCTGCGTCAGGTTTGCCCCGAGGCCCTGTGTGGCAGCATTACGATAGCCTTGTTAGGTAGCCTGGTGAGTACAACACTCGAAAGGCTTAGATTTATAATTATTGAGCACCGCCATGAACCAAGAAAACGGTTAACCGAAGGTTTAACGGGGCAAAAATGGCGGCAAAAGTAAGTTCCGTGCTTCAGATTGTCTCCTTCATTCCCTGTGAATTGTTCACTCTTGGGTGCATATCAAACAAGCTTGGGCGACTGGCGAATTAATCCAATTTATGTATGAAATACGTGCAAATTTCCAGTTGGAGCATCTTGCAGAGAAATTGGTCAACATTTTAAGCAGGTGGCCAGCGCGTCATGGCAGTCCGTAGCATGGGGCCGGGGCATCGTTGTGCTCATCCCAGGCTCACGATGTTTATTGTCATGAAAAAGCAAAGCCAACAGCTACTCCAGCACGTGCTCCGCAAGGCTGTAGAGATGACCGTATAGGTCAACGGTATCGCATGACTGGACTCAGATGCTGTTGTTTTTGTACACACTTAGCGGGCCTCACTTGGGGAGACTGTCCAGAGGCGGATCCAGGGGAGGCACGGGGCCATGCCCCTTCCCTCCTGCCTCCCCCCCCCCCCCCCCCCCTCTTGGACCCCGAAGGGCTCCATAGGCTGCCAAGGGGCCATATCCGGCCGAACAGACGGAGTTGTTTAACACAAAACCCAACGAACTTGGATGTCTTCTGGCCTCCAGGCGGCCGGTAGCAGTCGCAAGCGAAAGCGAAGGTCACACGAGTAAACACAAATAATTATTCGTTCATTGAGAGGGTGGTGATTGAGCGATTGAGAGGTTCCTTACGCTGTCTGGAAGGTTCTTTATGCCAACAGAGGGTTCGCTGCTTCCGGGGGATTCTATATGTCAACAGTCAGGGCCAATCCGATCGTTTAGGAGCCTTCTGCATTGCCCTTGATTTCTTTGCATTTGCTGTCAACCTGCTGGGTTATTCTCGGTTGCTCAGGGCCCCTTACGCTGGTCTCGGTCAATGTATCAACACGCTCGCAATATGCAGCACACTCGCAATATGCTACATGGGCATAGGTACTTTCAGATTATCTTTCACTTGATAAGGGTCCTACCCTCTTGTCGGGCCCAGCTGTTAGCCTCTTGGGCACACTCGGTCGTTCGGCGGCTCTCCACATTGGGTCTTGGGTACTTCCTATTTGAATGGAGGGCCCTTCGCACTTTCGGGGGTCCATCTGTTAACTTGCTCGGGCACACTGGATTGTTCGGGGGTTTTGCACATGGGGTTTTGGTACCTGAATGTAAGGTCCTACGCTCCCGTCGGAGGTCATCTGATGGCCTGCTCGGGTGTACTCGATCGTTCGGGGAGCCCTCCACATTGTGCCGTTGATATTTCTTATTTGAATGGAGGGCCCTACGCTCTTGTCGGGGTTCCAATCTGATAGCCTGCTTGAGTAACCTTTGTGTTTCGGGGTCCCTCCACACTGGATTTTGGGTACTTCTTGTTTGAATGGAGGGCCCCACGCTCCTGTCGAGGTCCCATTTGTCAAGCTGCTCAGGCACGCTCGATCATTCCGGGGCCCTCCATATTGCGTCTTGGGTACTTCTTAATTGAATGGGGGGCCCTATGTTCTTATCGGGGCCATGAAGGTTCTCGGGCAAGTGGCGGATCCAGGGAGGGGGCGGGGGCGGTAAGGACCATGCCCCCGCTTGTGCTCCGATGCGATCTGTGACTTCCGAAGAGGCCCATAACCTGCCGAACAGACGCAGTTTTCAAACACAAAACACAACGAAATTGGACGTTTTGGGGGCTCCAGACAGCCTAGACAGTTGCAAGCGAAAGTGAATAGCCCAGGAGCAGACAAAGGTAATTCTTTGGTGATTGAGTGAGTGATTGGAGGGGAAAATTTTGAAGCCCAACAAGTTCTCCAAAGGCGATACCTCCTACTGGTGCCCTATATATCCCCTCGCCGAGTCAATCCGATCACTAAGGAGACTTCCACGTTGCCCTTGATCTCTTTGCACTCTCTTATAGGGCCCTACGCTGCTGTTGTGGCCCTATCTGTGAATATGCGTGGGCACGCTTGATCGATCACTGGCCCTCAGTGGGATCTGCCCATTCGCCCGAAAAGGCTCTATGCGCTTTTGCCGGGGCGCCAAATGCCGGGGTACACTCAGCTGCTCACGGTCCCTTCATACTGGTCTTGCGGTCTTTCTACTTGCGCGGAGGGCCTTGTGCTGTTGCTGAGCCCATTTACGTAAGGCACCGAGCCAATCCATGCTCATAGTCTCTCTTCATTGATCAAAGACACTTTCCTTTTAATGTCATTGGGTCCTGGGTGCTCTCTTTTTGAATGGAGGGCCCTATGCTCTTGTCGGGGGCTCTTCCGTTGACCTGTTCGGGCACACTCGATATTCTGGGCCATTTGCACCGGGTCTTAAGTATTCCCTATTTGAACGGAGGGCCTTACGCTCTTGTCGGGAGCTCTTTCTGTTAGCCTTTCCGGGCAGGACACTCCCGATCGTTTAGTGGAATGCAACAATTTTTCAACGGGGCCCAAACCTTAGGGGCCCCACAATGTTGCGTCCCCCCCCCATCCCCTGACCTTGATAAAATTCTTAATTCGCCCAGCAAAAATTTCTCCTCCGTATGTACTGCAAAAAACTTCGCAGCCTTGTATGTTTACATGCAATGCCACACAGAGCAAGCTTTGGTCGTGCTTCAGGAACAGGCTCGTACCCGGCTGCGTAGGTACACTGGGTGCCCGTGCATCCCCTAGGATTTGATAAACAACGCATTCTTCTTTGTGTTGCATCTCCAGCTCAATTAATGGTCGGTGGGCATTACCTTATTTGGGACGCTATGCCCGACACGGCATAACTAAGGGTGCAGGGGCCTCAGCTTATATAATTTTGGGGGCCTGAGCACCCCTAACTTGAGCTTCCCCCCCCCCCATGCTCTTCTGAGCCCTCTCAATGCACATGAGCGAAGAGGGAATACTGGACCAAATAAATACAGAAATACATTGTCAGGTGACCCAGACGGGAGAGTAAGTCTCTAAATTTAAACACCAGGACTCAATATATAGGGCCCCGAACAAACCAGTGTGGTCGAAGCGGCGAACAGATGGGGTCCCCGACAAGTGCGTAGGTCCCTCCATTCAGATAGGAAGTACCGAGGACACAATGTAGAGGGCCCCGGATATTCGAGTGTGCCCGAGCAGGCTAACAGATGGGGCTCCGGCAAGAGCGTAGGGCCTTCCGTTAAGATATGAATTACCCACGGCACGATGTAGAGGACCCCGAATAACTGAGTGCGCCAGAGCAGGTTAACAGATAGGGCCTCTCAAAAGAGCGGAGGGCATTCCATTAGAAAAGGAAATACCCAAAACCAGATATAGAGGTCCCCATGATGGAATGGGCCCGAGCATCTTTTCAGATGGGGGCCCCGACAGGAGCTTAAGGCCCTCCATTCAATTAAAAAGTACCTAAAACCCCGTGTGGAGGGCCCTGAAAGATGGAGTGTACCCGAAGAGGTTACCAGATGACCCCGGTAGGGGCAGAGGGCCTTAAATTCAAACACCAAGAAGCAATGTGCACGGCCCACCAGTAATCCAGTGTGGCCGAGGAGGCAAACAGAGGGGGCCCCGACAAGTGCGTAGGGCCCATTCAAATAGCACGTGTCCAAGGCCCTATATAGCCCCCCATCCCCCCCCCGAACGATCGAATGTGCCCGAGCTGGTTATCAGGTAGCCCCCCCCCCCCCACAGAAGCGTAGGGCACCCCCCCCCCATTCAATACAGAAGTACCCACAACAAAAACACAGTGTAGACGGTCCTCGAACGACTGAGTGTGCCCAAGCAGGCTATCAGAGGGACCCCCGACAAGAGTGTAGGGCCCTAAGCAAGTGGCAGAGAATTGGAAACACCCTAGACCAATGGAGAGGACCCAGGGGCATATCGCAATTGCGTTGGTAGGTTAACCGATACCCACGTAAAGGGCCCCTGAGCAACTATTGATCAGAATATAACTGGTTCATAGTGATTTGATGGATTTCGTGATCGTCTGCTGCCTATTACGCATAGAGCCGACTTTTCGCACGGGATTCTGCTTATTTACACTTGCTTCCATCTCAGGCTGGCAATCCGCGTATGTTTGACACGTACAACCATCTGAAAGATTTTTGGAGGGTGTGTAAGCCCAGTGCGTAGCTACCCTCCATTTTGGAGGGTGTTTAAGCCCGGTGCGTAGCCGCCCTCCGTTTTGGAGGGTGTATACACGCAGCCATTTCAGAAAGTGATGCCTCAGCGAGAGGGGTTTCCCCATTATAACCAGCGTGTATCCCACGGTTGGATTTTAATAGCATAGCCAGAAATGCGTAGGATAAATTGTTGGCAGTTTCTTATTTGGCATGATCTTATTTTTGAAATATTTGAGAATTTATGGATGACTCCCTCCATACCTTGACCTTGCTTGCTGATTTGTGTCACATACTACAATTTTGAGCAATGTTCGATTAAAAACATATTGTAATTCACAACAACTATCATAATTGCATCTTGTTTGCATAGCATGCCATTAATTCTGTCCCATCTTTGTATTACCAACCAAAGCACTATGTTTACTGCCAGGACAGGTTATGGCATTACATTAACAAAGGAACGAAACATCACTATATCCGGTGTCAGTAATACATTTGTGACCACGTTATGAGTTTGTGTATTTTGGACGACTAGATACGCGCCCAGATCCACAGCGTGTTGTGAAGGGGCGTGGGAGGAGGATGCCGAAGTGGGCAGTATATTGGGAACCGGATAGCATCAGCGCCTCTTTATAATTTGTCGAGTACTGCCGGAACAGGTGATACCGCGGGTACCTTGCCTTACTTGGCGTTACCGGGTACGGGAATCAAAAGCCATTTGGGCTGTTGAAACTGCTCCTGTCGAATTCCTAACTCGTGGAACTAAATCAAACCTGGTGTGAGAATGAAGTTACAATGGCATAGTTCCTTTTCTGCAGCATGAGTTTGGCTATTGAGGGGGAAGGGGGCCAACTGGTTGGCATGCTCCCCCCAAAAAAAATTCACAGTGGGATTGTGTCCCTTGTAGCTTTCCTCATATAATGCATATTTAATGTGTATTGCATTGAAAATGCAAATTTCAGGTTAGGCTGTTTCTTTCACATTCCAGTTTGACTGGTGCAGTCTATTAATTTTCACAGTTCACTCCATATATTTCAACTAATAGATGGTCAGTGTGGAAAGGAATTGTGGTGTTGTAAAGTTAATTTCAGGAAAGATGCTCTGCAAGCATTTTCAGAAAGCAATAGTATGAATGTCAGTGCAATTTGGCATGGCCTGAGTTTGACATATGTGAGTTCAAGGCTCAGCTCACCAATGTTGTTATGTGTTGGCATATGGTGCAGTGGGTGGATTTTGTGTTGACTGGCCTGGGACTCCTGAGCCCTCGCTATGCCAGGCGTTTTTTCACTTGAGATGGATCCTGGCAGAAACTTAAAAATCTTGTTTTTTTATGTTTTGGTATATTTACCACCAATCCACAAGCAATGCAGGTATCAAAGTAAAAGAAAGCCTCAAGGTCTTGGTGGTTGTACACAAGTAGGCATTGCTTTCTTTGAAGCCAGGATCTCATGCGATAATATATTAGTGAATCATCTTGCCTGATGATCATCTGGTTACATGATGACAGTAACTCTCCTCTGAATGCTGCTCTTCTGCTATTTATGGCCTTTCACTCAAGCTATCTTCTGAATATTCAGTTTATATTCATTATTATTTAATGCTCAGCATTACCTCCATCTTGAACCTATGTTTGTGACATTGGGATTGTCCTGCAAGCAGGTTTATGCTTAAGAACACTTTGTGGAATCAGCCCTGACCTAGACTCAGTGGCATTAAGAATGAGTTGCTTGTGATGAGATCATTCTGGTAGAATTAGTTTAGGAATTAGCATGCCCTACAGCATTCATGAAAGTCTAAGTGGGGTCTATATATTGGCACTTGTGGACACTGGTGAGAATGGGTAAGAGCCTTGTATTGTCAATCTTTCATATATATTTTGAATTCCTTAAAATATAAAACAAAATGTATGTTAAGAAAATAATATGCTGATCTTTATATCAATGTATTTCTGTTTTCTTTTATATTTGTATGTAACAAAATATATTTCTGTGAGGTTTGGATGTGACAAAGTGATAAGGTATTTCATTTTCCTGCACCATTGGAGATCTCAGGGTACACATGCATCTCATCCCATTTGTGTTGCTGGTTCCTGTTGTTTGCATTGTTTGTGGATCCTCTCTGGATGAGGCATGCACATAGTGGATTTTATTTTTAATGAAGTCACCCAATGTTACTGTGGATGCTCATAGTGCAGGGTGAATATCATAGGCTCTGATGGGTAAATGTTTAGTGTGCAATGCAATGACATTGACATTAATCCTCTGCTCTCTCCCAATTGATATAATCCACTGTGATAACCTCAGCAATCTCAGCAGGTATGGTTGTCTTCCAGAGTCTTTCACTCACTCTTCTCTTGCCTCCAGATTGCCATCCATTATGGCAGAAGGTGGGGAGCCAAGCCGGCGGCAGGGGACCTTCAAGAGCTGGATCAGCTTATGGCAGAACAGGACAAGGTACATGCTAATCTTTTGTTCCAAGCTTTAATATGGAGGGCCAGAATTGTATGTGGGTAAAGGCTGCTTTAGTGGCATTGTGTTAGTTGTGTGGTGTGTGAACATGTTTGTGTTATGTGTGTAAAAATATGATGCTGACATCATAAGACAGTTTGCTGCTTTTGAAGTACATCTGGAGAAGAGCTTGACTGAAATCATGTAAATTTGATTGTAATCATAAAATGGAACTTTACTGGAAATCCCGTAACTTCATTCAGAATACCACAGAAGGCTTTCACTAACATTTTGGTCAGACTACAGCTCGCACTGCCAAGGGCCTTCCAACACAGCGCAAAGCCAGTCAGTGGGTGCCAATTGTCAGGTAGGTACTCCCCACCCAGTTGCTGCCTGAGCCTGGCATGTTGATTGTTCCTTTTGGCATGATCCAAAGCTCACGCTTATGACGCTGTTGAGCGTGGCCTGAATGCGAGACCCTGCCGCGGCCCGACTGGTTCGGTCGACATCGCCGGTGCTGCCGCTGGCGTTGTCGCGCGCGCTGCCTCGTCAGCAGTCTCCTCGCCCCTGAACTTAGCTCCGTAGAAACTTTGCTCTGGTGGGCGTCCTGCAAATGTGGGATTGGCTGTCATTTGTCGTTGATGACCGAACCCTCAGGAACTGTCGGAAAATAGCATCCTGGAATCAGCCCAGGCTTTCTCCCTCTATTCGCAACCTTCGGGATAAGGAACTGGCCGTTCTGGCAAAAGGATGTCCATCTTCTAAACGAGATGAAGCTCTTAGCATACAGCTAAGTAGCTTATCAAAGAGCGCCAGAATTTTCCTTCTTACTGTCACACCCAGCTAGGCAACTGGTAGAGCACCTTGCTCCTTCCTCGCGACTCGACACAAATATGCCGGAACCGCTGCACGCCTTGCAAGAACCACAGACCAACAACGCTCGCAACCTCCTTCCGTGACAACGCAACAAATCTCCGCCGGCCCCAGCCCCGCCTGGCTGCTCCGATTCCTACCCGGCCACTGACCCTCCTCCCCCCCCCGCCGAAGCTGTGCGCCTGCGGGAACGGCTTGCGCCAGTGGCACCGCTACTCGGACGACTACAGGCCGTTGACTCTCCCCCCCCCCCTCTCCCTACAGAAGCTGAGCGCCTGCGAGGACGGCTTACGCCAGTGGCGCCGCTATTCGGACGACTACCGGGCCCTGCGCCAACGGCTGGCCTCGCTGCCCGACAAGCTGAGTCACGAGGTCACCGTGCCGCTCGGCCCGCTGGCGTTCGCGCCCGGCCGCCTGGTGCACACCAACGAGCTGCTGGTGCTTCTCGGTGACAACTGGTTCTGCAAGACGAGCGCCAGCGCCGCCTGCGGCATCGTCGACCGCCGGCTGGAGCGTGAGTGGACAGAGGGGAGAGCGGGGGTGGGGTGGAGGGAGTTAGCGGCAGAGCACGTTGGGTGGAGTGGGGAGACGATTGGTTGTCGCTGTGATAAGGCGTGGGCCTCCGTTCGTCTTCTGAGTGTCTTGGCCTGTCACTGTATTTTGCGAATACGTCGGATGAAGATAGAAGTGCCTTTCGCTGTGTCTACTTTTCGAGCCACGTCCGGTTAGAAACAGTCGTTGTCTCAGCCGCTGTGCCATGCTGCTCGCTCGCCTGTGCTGGTGCCTCTGACCTCTCCGTCTGACCTCCAAGCTGTCTGACTCTGATCTCGCCGTTAGCCTCCGACCTCTCTGACTTCTGACCCCTCCTGACCTTTGACCTGCACTGACCTCTGACCTCATCGTTTGACCTCTGACCCCCCCGACCTATGATGCCTCCGCCTGACCTCTGATTCATCCGCCTGACCTATGACCCTCCGCCTGACCTCTGACCCCTCCGCCTGACTTCTGACCCCTCTGCCTGACCTCTGACCTAGACTGCGACAAGACGCTATCGTCGTTGGAGAAGGAGCGTGACCTGTTCGCCGGCTGGCGGCAACAGGCGGCCGGCCTGCAGGAGGCCGCGGTCGGGGACGTGCGCGAGATCACGGAGCCGCTCGACGAGGAAGCCGAGCTGCAGTGGCGCCGTGAGTGGGAATGTGTGGCAGGCGCACGGACCGCGCCGGCGCCGGGCGCAGCTGGAGACACGCTGCTAAAGAGGACGCCGATGGTGGCACACCCGGTGTTCTGCGGGTTTCATGGGC